GTATCTTTTCCAGATCTTGAACATTGTTGCTACGGACAATGTCCATGTTTTTCGCCTTCTTTTGCGTAGCTTTTCCCCGATTTAACCCAGACGAACTTGTAACCCATTTCCTTTCCTTTTACTCTCGCCTTTCAGTACAGTTCCCTGCAGACTCAAGACAGGTGCTCGTTAAAAAGTATACTTTAGAGTGCATCCGACTTGGCAGTCTCTGCAGGCGACTACGGTAGCTCATCCAGCTTTCTCTCACGTCGCACGACGCAAACGTAACCAGAATTAGGGCAGTGGTACTCCTGTTCGACGGAAGACGACAGAGCTGATTGAGATTACTTTGCTGGGGGACTGGTAGTTCAAGTTTTGTGGCAATGTTAATTAATAGCAAATATAGATCTTCGTTCTGGCCGTCCGGTACGCCGTAAATTTCCAAAGTCGACTGATGCACAAATGCCTGCATGTCACTTGGATCACTCTGAATTTGCTCAATGGTGTGCAACTGCTCGCCGACTATCTCCTTCACATTCGTTAACTCGCTCTCTAGGTTCTCAGTTCTTTCTTCGTAACCCTGACCAAGTCCAAAAGTGTATCATACTGGCCAGAACAGAATTCAACTGAGGCCTGCAGGTCACTACTTCACATTTAGGTTCTTTCAGAGCAGGCTTAAGAGACAGCAGATCATCGATCTTGGCCGGGAGAGGAGCAATTATTTACACTAGTCTTAATAGAAAGCAACATATCAAGTTTGTTGTTTACAAAAAAGTCCTCGCTAAAACTATCGGAAAAATTTCCCCGCTAAATTTAGCGGAAGAAATTCCCCGCTAAATCTAGCGGAAAAATTTCCCCGCTAAATCTAGCGAAAAAAATTCCCCGCTAAATCTAGCGGAAACAATTTTCCCGCTATATCTAGCGGAAAAATTCCCCGCTAAATCTAGCAGAAAAATTTCCCCGCTAGATCTAGCGGAAAAAATTCCCCGTTGTCTAGCGGAAAAAATTCCCCGCTAAATCTAGCGGAAAAATTTCCCCGCAAAATCTAGCCGAAAAAGTCCTCGCTAAATCTAGCGGAAAATTTTTTCTGGGGGGTCACGTGACCCCCCCCCCCCCCTCCCGGAGAACAGGCGACCCTCAGTACCCTTCCCTCCTCCTCCTCAAGAGCTGCGCTCTAATTCGGTGTTACAGGGAGTTGAAAACGGCTTTCATTTTTTTACACCGGTTCACCCTTTCCAACTTCTTCGACGTTTCCCGCCACTTACACAGATATCGAACGCGGATCCGTACCCCCTCGATTCGCGGGTTCACAACTCGCGTAACAGGCGATGTAGCCTCACGCGAGGGGACGAATTCTCTGTCTTCGATGTGCGCTACTTAAATAGCACGCCCTCGAGGCACGGCTGAAAAGCGCCCGGCGCGAGGCTAAGAGCATAGACTTCGAGGGTACGGACGATAGTTCTTTTGGTTTACTTGTCTGGGCCATGGGGGTCGAGTCCACTCCACACTTTACAGTCAACTGTCCACATAAAGGGGGGTCAGGCCATCTAAATGTTCTGACGGAGAGAGAGATAGAACGCGTAAGAGTGGTATGATCCTCCGCCACTTTTTCTGACCCGTCAAGTTTTCGGTCATGGAGTGTACGTCGTCCTTATGGCCATCTCTTCATGAGATGTTCAAAACTCATGGCGTTAAGGAGAACCGAAACCAAGAGTTTCCGTGCATACTTTGCTTGCCAAACAAATACACACATTGTCATCAGCAAGAAAAACAAACTCTAATCTACGGAAACACATCAAGGTAAGCTGGGACACCTGCATTTTGCATTGGGCTACATTATAACATTAGAACCAAGCTTTTTTTTTTCTTGTGAATAACAGGTGAAACACTCGAGTGAAAAGGGTGCTTTCGTAGATCGCTTCTTTACCTCCAACTCTCGTAGCGGAGGTAGACGCTGCTACTGAGCATGCGTACCGCTAGCTTTGTCTGCACAATTTCAGGGATCATTTCCTGAGGCTAGAAGCTAGCGGGATGGCGGGTGTAGTTGCAGTTTTCGGTGTCTTGCCAGCGTACAAGTCAATGGAGTGCAGCTACATTTTTCTCTTAAATAAAATATTTATTTTCACAAAAGACTACCATAATACGGGCGTGTGAGAAATGAAAAGTGGTGTTGCAGAACATTTTTGAAAAATATCAAAATTATTTCTATTGTTTTCTGGATAAGTGTACGGAAAAAGTAACGTGAAAGTAATTTGTAAGCTAACGAGTGAAGTCATCCGTTACTTTTCAGCGGAAGTGATTTGTAACGGTAATCCATTGCATTTGAGGCTCGCTAATTTGTAATTGTAATCCATTACATTTTTCAAGTAAAGAGCACAAGTCTGCTCGGAGAGGAGCCAGCGGAGAGCACGTGACATCCAGCGCAATCGTGACGTAGCGTGTCTCGGAACGAGCAAAGCTGCGGCGAGGCTGACGTTGACAAGACGATTGCAAGCAGTGCTAAAATGAACTAGTGGAAGGGCAGTGAGTTCAGCAAGCGTCCACGGCCGCCGCACATCATGTCGATGGCAGGAGAGGGCGCCACTGAAGCATGGGCTGTAGTAGGGCATGCATCGCATAGCATTTGCTGCTCTACTGGCGTTGTTGTCGTCGTTGTCGTCAAAGTCTATTCAGCGTTGTACTTAAATTGACACAAACAATAGGAAACACGGGTAAAAAATCTGAACGGGAGCCCGTTTGCGCTGCCAAACCGCCAAGCGAAATATGCGCGCCGAAGTCCGTCGGATCGCTCTGATGTGATCCTCCAGCCCACGCTACCGCAGTGCCCCTGTGTATATCCGGGACCTTTCCACGCTCGCCACTTCACAGCAATGCATGGCGGGCGTCGGTGCCTGGTCTCACTACCCCTCCTCTAATTCACTATAGCAGGGCATCTGGCCGCCGCCAAGCCTCTTCTCGCGCGGGCAGATGCGTCCAATTACAAGCTTGCCAAAGCTACGTTCACGCGCACGCTTCTCATGCTCTCCCGGATGGGGCACCAGTGAGGTTATAATTTTAGGCGAGACAGGCGTCGTCAGTACCTGTCAATGTCCCCAGACGGATATTACAAACGGGGCTTTAGGGACATCCACCAGGGTTCATTTTCTCGAACGCGAACCGTGGTTTAAAGTTAACTATTGTCCCTAAAAGGGGGAATTCCAGGTCACGTGACTGGGAGGGCAGGGGCGCCGAGGGAGGAGCAGTACCTAGAAGCAAAATGGCCGCGGCGTCGCTTAATGAGGGCTAATAGTTCTGCTTGGTTCTGCTGAACATTCATTTCGATCTGGCTGTTATATTAATGACTCACCATCAACCTATTAGCACGTCAAGCAAAGCGATAGTTCAGAGGGACTACTAAACTAACCGACGGCAGCATTCCGCGAACGCATCACTCTTCACGGGTCCGAGATCCAAGACATATGACGGTACATAAGCCTTGCAAGTGTTTTTATGGTGAGTAAAAAAAATGTTTTGCGAACGAGTGTTGGTACATATTTATACTAAGACGTTTAATTTGTTACACTATGCACGCCAACTCGTGAGCAGCGATTACTTTGCGGAGAAAGGGGGCTATCCTCAATAAAGTCTTCGTTCCGGGTGAACAGCTCAGACATTGTACTGTTCTTTTTGTTCACAGTGCGCCGACAGTATGCCGACAGCATTGACGTTTCTACATATCCCCGGTGCCCAGCAATTCAAAGGTAGCTTCTCGTCACCGGTGAATCGGTTGAGCAAGCGGAAGAGAGGTCAAACAGTTGAGATCAGCAGGAATCGCAGAAACGTGCGTCGCAAGGAACGAAAAAGAGATTACAGCACCGGCGTTGCCAGACTGGAAGAAACACGGGAAAGTTATGCGTTGTTTATTTCGAAACATATTGAATGAAGGAAATGTTTCTTACATTTTCGAATATTCGTCGACAAACTCTAGCATAGTAGCTAAAATTTCTTCGTACCATTGGAAGCAAATAAATTGGTCTTCAAGTAGAACATTACTATATTTTGACTTAAAATACCATACCAGATCGATGACAACCAGCGGAAAAAGGGGATAAACAAAATGACTGGCTTGTTTCACCGATAGATGGCGCATCTTATTGCCCAATCAAAAATAATTATTGTTGTTCTATATCCAGCCGTTTATTACAGTACCTAGGTACTTTTCCTTTCCTAGGCACCGTGGTTTACCAAAATGGGTTTACCATCGCTTCGAGAAAACCGGCCCAGGTGCACGGTGAAAATGACCAGGTGCCGCTTGCTACTCGTTTTATTCATTTTAAAATTATTTTTAGTGTATTTTCCGATATACGTTTGGGGTGCCATTGTGATACCGCTTTCTTAAACACTGATTAACCGAAAAATAAGGACCGAAATTTTGTTGTAGTATCCCTTTAAAGGCCCACAAGAGGGCAGAAAGGAGGACACTCTCCCTAAATACCTCCTTTCTATCGGAGAAAGAAGGAGACCCCCTCCTTCCTGCGAGTAGTGGCTCAGAGATCAACACCGCCTCGAAGAGAAGGCCATAGTGCTGACACTTTTTGCGTCACCAGCGGTGGCCAACGTTGGACACAGATGGGAAACGAATCCTGCGTCGGCGCCGCTCGGCTCCATGTCAAGTTTGAGCCGAACTTTCATGCAATCGTAGTGTCCAATCTGTGCCTAGCCTTGGCCTTCGATGATGACGACATCTCCATCAGGACTACGGCCAGAGTTGGCAATATTGACATTAGTGTTATAAAATTACAGAATTTAATTATTCTTTGTGGTGATGAGTAGTGCTATGAAATAATTTTCTAGGTTGGTAATTCAGTGATGTGATGGATTCCTTTAAGGCAGTAATTTCAACAAAAATATCTCTTTAGTTTTGAAATTACTTGTGGTAAAAATGAGAAAGTTCGTTGCGAGCTCTAAAAAACAGCAAAATTATTTTGCACGGTGAAATCTCGTGAGAGAGAGATCAGAGCAAATAAACGACGGCAATATAATAATAATAATAATAATAGTTTATTTCTATGAAACATGGTGAAGCAAAGAGTAAAAGCCTCAAAGGAAGCTTGACCAGCGCTCGGCCCCGTACATTGCCATTGCAGCAAGAGTGTGCACAAAATTACAAAACACTCATTAATCACCTAAACAGATTGCATGCACAGTCGCTGCAGACATGAGTCCGAAAAATACAAAAGAGTGCAATCTATGTAGCATAAACAAATTTAAACAATCAATTGAGTGGGAGAAATAAATCACTGCTGCAGATAGAAAGAGCGCAAAGCCTTGAAGGAGATAGCGTTAATGCAAATTTCTTTTTCAATCAGTAAATTTAACAGTTTTGGTATAGTATATCGCAACATTGGCGTACGTACCATAGTTAGTAGAACAGTAGACAACCTTCCAATACTCTAGTATCTAGTTAAGCGAACGTGTAGATTTGTTGTCAATGCCGCTAGGTTTGACAACGATTTACAACGTTTAATTTTTTTTCTGATTTTAAACTCAGAATCAATCTGTATTCAAAAAGGCTATGAATTTTTAATAAGCAGAACTTCTTAAACAAACTGCCTGTATAGAAATCATAAGGCAGGTTGCATATTATTCTAACCATTCTTTCTGCTGTAAAAATAATTTTTGCAGGTTTGTGAATGTGATGTTACTAAAGACGAGGTTGCAGTAACTCAGATGAGAATAGAATGAAAACTTGTAAATTAATAGCTTCACGGTGACTGGGAGTGTTTTGCCGTTACGGAATGTCCGACCTATGATGATTGATAATTTTGCAACTAAGTGGTTAATGTGACTGGTCCCACAACATATGTTCCCAAAAGATGACTTCAAGACTTTTAAAACTACTGACGATTTCAATTGGCGTAGAGTCAAGCACGATGCTTCTCATTAAAGTTACACACTTAATCTTGGGTCGAAAAATGATAGCTTTAGTTTTATCAGTATTAATTTTTAAGTGGTTATCTTTTGGCCATGCCCCAAGTTTGGACAAAATGTCATTAGCGATTGTGACAAGGTAATCGCTATTATCTGAAGAAAATAATAGGCTACTGTCGTCAGCATGTATGACAAATTTTGCAGGGCTTATGTTTAGAATGTTATTAATGTACATATTAAAAAGAAACGCTCCAAGAATGCTCCCCTGTGCGACGCCTGAGTGAATAGGTTTAACGTCAGTACACAAATGGCCAATAGAAACATATTGGCAAAGGTGTCTCAAGTAGGAGCGTAGAAGTTCTAAATATAACCCACGGATACCATCAAGTTAAATTTTTTGAAGTAAGACATTATGGTGGTAAAATAAAAAGCTTTCGTGAAGTCCACGAATACACCTAGAACATGTTTTTTTTCCTCGAAATTTTTAAAAATATGTTACTTCTGCTCTGCTAATGCTAATTTGGTCGATCGACCTTTCCTAAAATCAAATTGGGCGGAAGTCAGCAGGTTATGCTTATCAGAAAATTGAACTAAACGAGTATGTATTATTTTTTTTAGGCCTTTGGAAAATAACGGGAGGATAGAAAGCGAAAGCGAAAAGCCTCGCACGAAAAACTTGACCGACGCAAAAAGGCGGGCTGGAAAGGCGAAGGAAAAAAAAGCTTACGTGCAAGGATATCACTGAAAGGCCACGGCTCACGAACTCTATGCAATACAGATTCACCACGTCACGTCATCATAACGATACCACACTTCGTTCATTCCTAGGCTGACAGTGGGGTGAGAGCTACGAGCTCACCAGAACCAATCAACCACATTCATTTTATCACCTGAACTAGGATCGACGAAGGGAAGCTACGAGCGCGTAGCTTCCACCGCACTGTCAGCCTAGGAATGAACGGCTTATAGGCTTCAATTCGATGGGCACATCACCAGTGAGGCAGACACATTTTAAAACATGAGAGGACAAGACAAACACATCCCAAGTCTTCTTGCTCTTTCGTTAACCAAGGTCAAACCGTAAGCTTCGACCATTGTGACATTCAATTGGACTTGGTAAGTAAATGTGCTTTTTCCAGTCGGAAAAGGGGGTATCGAGCAAAGCACGTGCCGCTCCCGATATGGCTCTCTGCCTTTTCTTGGGGAGTTTATTCGGAAATAAGCGTACGCGCAGATATGGCACCTGTCTGTTGAGGACGTACACATTTTCGGAAGCTCGCGCCCTCCCTTTACTCAACTGGCGACGCTTCTGCCTAGCAAATATCCAGCGCCCTTATGTGACAACGCGCAATAAATTGGCCTCTTGGTGCGAACAATACTTCTTGAGAGGGGACGAAAATACGTGAACTAGTGCTCTTGGGAGAATAGGTTTAGAGAACGTTCGAGGCGGAAGAAAAACGTTTTACGTGACGACTCCTAGTAAGAACAAACTCCCATGGTCTGACAAGACCTCTAACTTCTAAATCAGGAAGACAGAAACCTATTTCCCTTTAACTAAGAGCCTTCACCGTTAAATGAACAGCAAAACTGGTGAGTCAGCTGTCTCTCAGTCCCACCTTAAGCAGAAGCCGTTCATCATGCTTAACATGTATGCCGTGTTCGCCAGCAAAACAACGGTTGAGTATGGTTCACTTTGAGGCGCACGAGGCTGTTGCGATGTAAACCGGAAGATCTGAGGTTTGGTACATATACTGTAAATAAAAGGAGCACGAATTACTGCCTCAAGGTATAGAAAAATAATTCAAAGTTACTTCATTACTTTTGAAAAGTAATGTAATGTAATGTTATTACTTTTTGTCTGCGGTAATTTGTAATGTAATTTAATATACATTTTCGCACTTTCCAGGAAAGGAATTCTTAGTACAATTACATTACTTTATGAAAGTAATCTTGCAAGATCTGACTACGGCTTTGTTACCTAGGTGGTGTTGCAGAGACCCGCCCCTGTGGGGACAGGAGAAGAGAAAAGTGCGAGGGAAAATGAAAAAAAGCAACAGGGAACCGGCTTTCCTCCCGGCAGACGACAATTCTTTAGGTCGGCTTTTAAGATGAACCCCAGAGGACGCTACGAGCTACCCGAGCGTTTACTCGAACGCAGAGTTCCTGTATAGGCTCCCCACGGAAGGCAGAGTTGCGCGTCTGTTTTTGACGTGCCACCGTGCCGCTATTCAGCGAGATACGATCACGTGCGAGATCCGATCAAATGCCGTGCAGAAAAGTTGGCGTTGCGCGCGCCCCAGTGTACGTTCCCCTGCTTTTGAGTGCGCCGCGCGCCTCGAACGCGCGGCGCCGACCTTCGCCGCATTCAGTCACGTGAGGAGCAGGCTCCAAATGCCGTGCAGGAACGCCGGCGCTACGGGGATCAACGCGCCACTTTAGCTTCCGTAGGGAGCCTATACAGGAAGTCTATCCGAGCGTATGCAATGTGTTATGAGTGTGACGTGCACTTTCCGGAGAGGCGCAGCGACTTGCGGGGCGCGTAGTCACGTGATGTGCCCACAACGTTGGATTGGCTAGGGTGACTCGTAGTGCACACTGCGGTTGATCGCAATTGGGGCGAAACGGAGTATAGACCATTGCAATAAGCACGTTTTGCTCGCCGCCATCTTTGTCTACTGGGCCGGGGAACGCACCCTAAACATTGGCAGTGACCCTCATGCGCGGAACATCAGACGCGGAGCATGACTTCAGTGACTCAGCATTTTTGGCCCGGGTGATCAGCGCTGGAAATATTTAAGTTCTCGGCGAGAACTTTGGGCATCGCCACCTGGCGGAATTTTTTTCACAACCCGAAGGCAGCAACTTCTGCTGGTACAAGCACGTGCAATGTCACGCTTCTACGCACAAATTAAAACATAACCGCGTGGGTAGCACGCGCACTACCCATAGTAAGAAAAGCAGAAGCGCCCCTAGCGAGCTTCTTACCGCGAATAGCCGATGCGAGAAAAGCCTTGGACGTACTACGCAGACAGTTTGACGTTGTTTGTCACTCCATCTCCGCACGACCGTGTGCGCGCACGCGCAGTTTTCGTATTTTGGTTTCTACCTTTCGCGCTCGGATCGGCTTATGACACGGCGTGTCTGACACCCCACGCATGAGGTACAGATACAACTCAACGAACCAAATTGCCTTGACCTCAGAAAAGAACCGCCTTGTGCCCGTCGTTACCCCAATAAAATACGTCTCACGTACCTAGTAACTGTCTCATTAAGAAATCAAGTGTAAAGATTCCTGTGAAAATTTAGATACTGTGAGAAAACAATATGCGCGGTAGTTCTAGGAGAAAGGTCTCAATTAAATCGCTATAGTAAAACCGGTATGATTTCGGCCACGATTTAGCTTTGACGCACGCTTCAGATTCTCTCGATGTTTTCATTCACCCTGCCTGAAACGCGATCCAGTTCTAGAGTTGCCGATAGCTTCAGAAATGCAGGGCGTGGCTCATGATGTTTCCCATTCGCAATTGCTTCTCTGACGTTCTCATTGGCTAACGTTCCAATCTCTTTGACTCCTGAGCAATAATCTCATCGCATACTTGAAGGGACAGCTAAAAAGGAGGCCTTTCATGTTTTCATCGTTTCTCCGTGATATCTCCCATTTAAGGTCTGTACCAGAAGCGAGTATGCAATTACTCCACCTTAATGAACACGAGCACTGTGTCATTTTTAACATAACCATCCGTTTCCATATTCTCCAGTGTGCGAAACGAGTGGCATAGAAAACTCTCGTTGGGTTTTCTCACTGGCCTCTGGAACCCCGCGGAAAATGTATTTTTACTCGCGTCTACCATCTGGCGAAAACTCCGAGTTTTATCCGAGCTGTGCATGACCTCTACAAGGATATTTTTGCAGATCGGCCATGTAAGTTTTGAATCGTAGTCCCCAGGATCGATTCTGAACCCATAGTGAAACCAAATGTTCTCTCCGTACTTTTCCAACATGATTGCAGCGGACGTCTTGTATCCACATACGTAGTGCGGGGGGCTTTCAGCTTTCGCCAAGCCATCCTCGTATGCTTTCCGCACAAGAGCTTTCCATCCCTTAATGTACCCGTAGTATACCATCACTTGGAAATCAGTAGCCACCTTTTGGAGTACCCCATCTGTGGTGTTCAGCGGGCGGTCGACTTGTGCACACCGGTTCACGGCCTGGACCTGTTTCACTTTGCCGCCGTAACCTGCTACCCCACTCTTTCTGCCCTGTGCAGAAGCAAGACTATCAAGGTTCAATCTGGCCAAGTTCTTAAAAAGTGTGGCGGACTGAGACTCCAGCTGTTGTTTGGAGCTTCTTTCTGCTGCCTTGACGTCCTCCCGGCACTTGTCGAGGCTCGTACGCAGCCAGGACAGCTCTTCAGAGTGATCTTCCAAGTGCGTTTTGGTCATTTTTTCCGCTGCCCTGACGTCTTCCCGGCACTGGTTGATGCTAACGTGCAGACAAGACAGGTCTTTAGACTGAGCATCCAGCTGTTGCTTGGACCAGCGTTCAGCTGCCCTGACGTCCTCCCGGCACTGAATAATGCTGCCGTTCAGACAGGACAGATTTTCAGATAGCTTGCCAAATGCTTCTTTCAGTTCGTTAGTCGTCTTCTCGATGCGGTCGTATCCCGTGATGGCTCGGTCTGTGTCCGACACGTGTCCAGCAAGGGGGACGTGGCAGCCATTTTTGCAGTGTTTTACAACCTCGCTCCTCAGCACGGACATTTGACACTTAGGGCAAGACACGACGTGGAAAGTACACTTTTTGTAGTGCTTCAGCAGACCGTAAACCGGACCCAGGAAGGAGCAGCCATTGGGCTTGTTCCAGCAGGCCACCTAAGGGAAGAAACGTCGAATGTTTGAGTGAGTGAGAGTCGTCTCAAGATATGGGCGCTCTTAAAGGGACTATAAAAACACTTTGGACTTTTCATAAAAAAATGTGTTTCCGACTCCGAAATTTGGCAATATGCTCTATGTATTTATACATTTCTATGAAGCTTATTTTTTCGTACAAAATAAATCAGTGAAACTGAAACTGACGTTTGGCTTTCCCGCCACACAACCTTTCTTAAAACGGGGGTGACGTCAACAGTGACCCCCTTGGTTTCGGTAGAATTCAGTGGTTATGAATGTAGACGGCGTGGTTAGCTGAAGCGGCGCTTTGCGGTTTGAAAGTGCTGCACTGCGTTGTCATTACGAGTAACTAGGATATTCGTGCTTCCTATGCCACTTCACGCGGAGCATGGATGCTTTTGACTACGTTGCGCCATCAAACACATTCAAATAAAACCGTGTTCAGAACCCTATTTTTGTCGTCATTGTTTATTGCTACTGTCGTTGCGGCGCTATCGCATTACAATGAACAATAACGTTTTTTTGCGTGTTTTTTATCGCTGTTGAGTACGAAGTGAGGCAGAACACAGTGACAGACTTAACGCTAAGGGCATAGGCTTTGCTAACCCAAGACACGACACAGGTGTTGTCCTGCTCGAGGAGGTTCGGTGTAAAAGCGACGGAGCTTTGGGCTCGCGCAGGGGCGTTTACTGATGTCCTCGTTCCCGCATATTGGCGCACAAAACTTCGGTACACCAGACGCGGAAAGGTCTTGTTGGATGACAGGCGGGATGGATGTGCAGGAAAGATCGAGGCGAGGTACAACAGAAGCCTTTTGACATTAACCCTGAGGAGTACCGGAAACTGCAGCGCGTGAACCTCGAACAATTTGCAGCTCCCTTCAGGCGTGGAAGCATAAATCCCGCCACGAAATGGAGAGAAGACAATAATCCACCGTTTTTGTTTTTCGCAGAAACAAAAAAGAAAAGCTTATTAGTGTTTTTACGTCAGATGATGCCATGACGGTCCGAGTCATATTTATTTTTTGTATTGATGTAAAAAAATATAAGCTGAAGCCATGTTTTTGGGAGGAGCATTCAGCTATCTGCGAACGCCTTAGCAAATTTTCTTTCGGTGATATGACATTTTGTAGCTCGAGGCGGGGAAATTGCCAAGGTTTGCCATGGTAATTTGCGCCGCCGTCAATTTCACACCTATGCATGCACATAGTACTACTGTTTCTACTTTTTTTAAAAAAGGCTTGCGACATGTACACAAAATATTAAAAATTACAATAAAATATTTCTATGCAAAAATGTACGAAGCACGTCAAATCCACACGTTTTAGACATATTCAGAAATTATTTGCCAACGAAATACTTCATATGAAACGACGCAAATTATATCAAACGGATCCTCTTTAAATCCGTTTTACGAATATATAAAAACTACTTTATAAGCCATTATTGTAGTTCTATCATTAAATCAGAAACGCAGCTTCTTCCTCAAAGTGTGGCGAAATTGCCTGAAAATATAAAAAGAGCTCCCCACTTATTTTAAATGGCAAAGCCTTGTGTAACATATGACCTCCTCAAAGAAAAAACGACAACATACTTTCACTCCAATTGAGTTAGCTCATCTTAGTTAATAATCAATCAATCAATCAATATTTATTAGCTTAGCATATATAGGACGTTTGCCTCAGACTTATTCCCGACGCCCCCAAACTTATCAGGAATAAGCGGCATGGTGGGCTGGAAGGCTTATTTCGAAACATCTGTGCGTCGTCGAGTTTAATAAAAATGATCAAGATGTGGTTAAGTTTTTTTGCTACCAACATAAAGACAATAAAATTGAATTTTTACAAAGAAAAGCGGGGGAAACCACACTTTTGTGTAATGGCGCCCCACCCTTCAATAAGCACCAAACTTCGAAAAAAAAAAAAACGAAACCTGCGGCTACTACACGCGTATTTATTTAGCACTCACCTGACGCGTTCCCAGGTAGCCATTTGGAAAATCAATCGGGACGAGATCATCAGCACTGAAGGACTCCTGGTCAAGGGGACAGGTGCTCCCTTGCCGAGCACACTCCCTGTGGCACTCGGGACAGAGTGTATGGCCACAGGACGACCTCACTGCTCTCTTTGACAGCACTCCGCACAGAACGCACGCTCCGAGTGCCACGGCTGGCTCCTGGAAGAGGATGGGCCTCCAATCCAGTGCATCGGAGAATCCAGACATGCAGAAGGACATCATCTTGGGTGTTCCAGCGTCAAGCCTGGCATCCAATTTGTTTTCGATGAGTTGGGGCAGCCCTGCGAAGGAAGAATAGCAATATTATGCGAAGATATTAGAACAAAATAAGCATATTTTAAATATGTTTATTTAAAACAAATAGTATTTCGAACATCACCGGATAGATTACGTTTAAAGCTCAAACGTTTATTGTCCTTGAGGTTTTCTAAACTGGGCAAAAGCACCATATGTTGCAGTATAAATCAGTGGTGGGCACGGCACGCATCGTGACATGTCTTCAAACCCGTTTTCTTTTGCCTGTCTGCAGTTGCTTCTCGCCGTCAACGGATGCTGCTTCAACGCTTCAAGCACTGCTCCGTCATCCATGCCGCTCGAGGATGACAACCTTATCTGCACCGCCTGGTCACGGGAAACATGTGAAGTGACGCATACAACGTCACCGTACATCGGCGCGAAGATTGGTCCCATTGCTGGAGCACCGTCGACAGCAGCGCCACAGGAGCCCATATACGACTGGCACGGACTTCTCGGCGCCAGTGGTGGGCACGGCACGCATCGTGACATGTCTTCAAACCCGTTTTTTTTTTGCCTGTCTGCAGGTAAGCCATGAAACGGCTTCTGTTCGTAGTGACAAACGTTGCCTTATTGCCGTGTCGTGCCCCCACAAGTTGTTTTTGTTGATGCAATATTGTTTTCGGGCTGTTCATGAGTTCATGAGGCGGTTGTTAGTTTTGAGTGGTGACGTAGAGCAAAATCCGGGACCAAACCATTGTCCTGACGATAAACTAAATATGATCATGGAAGCTAAAAAAAAATCAAGGGAAAGTTCTAAATGATATTAAACGCGATCAACGGTCGATCCAGAAAAGTGTCAGCGAAGCTTGCGAACACTTTAAGAAACTGGAAGAAAGGTTAAGCCAATTGGAGTCACAAATAGTGCTATTGCGGTGCAGGAAACAGTTGATAACCTTATTAGAACCGTCACTGATCTAAGACAAAAAGTTGATGACATGGAAAATAGGTCGAGATGAAATAACCTGATTATATTTGGCCTGGAAGAGACTAAAAACGAGAATGCTGATGAGCTTGTTGAAACTGTTAAATCAACCGTGTTTGACAAGATAAGAGTTAACCCTGTAACCATTGAGCGCATGCACCGTCTTGGTTTTAAACGCGACGGATCTCGACCAGTCAACTTTCGTGTCGCGGATTTCAGGGAAAAACTTGAAATACTAAGAAATTGCAACAAGTTGAAGGGTAGCAATATTTCTGTTAGTGAAGATTTTTCAAAGGAAGTGCGAAATGTGCGCGGAAAACTCTGGGCATCCTGTGCTGCTGAAAGAGGCCAAGGTGCGAAAGCTCGCCTAATATTCAACAAGTTATCGCTTAATGGAAAGCTTTTTTCCTTGAACGAAAGGACTAATACGCGTCAATTAGTCAACCAAATGTCTGAGCGGAGTTCTCCCAACCAGCAAGAATGACCAGAGTCTGCCTAAAAACTTTTGTTTGTTGAATGTAAATGCACGTAGCATTGTGAATAAAGTAACCCACTTTGAATCTCTACTTTTAGAGCATGAACCAGATGTTGTTGTCATGACTGAGGCATGGTTAACGGCTGAAATAGAAAATGCGGAGTTTATTCCACCAGGTTATTTAGCTTTTCGGAAGGACCGAGAGGGAAGGGGAGGGAGTGTTGCCATTATTGTTAAGGATGAATATGCCTGTGTTCAATTGCTTGTGGTTCATGGCATAGAATGCGTAGCTGTTAAGCTTTTTATAAGCGAATGTCCTATTATTGTGGTTGCTGTGTACAGGCCCCCCGAGCCAAACCCTAAATATTTTTCAGTATTAAATGATTACTTTTGTATGCATGCTAAAGATAAATGTAAGAGATTTTTCGCGATTACACAAAAAAGAATAATATTATGACAGTACAATAACTAAGTCATTCATTGATCACATAGTTATAAGAATTAGTAATGCAACATTAGTGCCGGCGGTAATTAAACAGAAGGTAGCTGATCATTATGTAGTAGCACTAGCAATATTGGGTGAAAGTCCAAAATTGAAATGTCAAACCAGGGGGTATTTAAAACCATTTTAGATAACAAAAAGGTAGACCGTCTTATCAGTATGTATGACTGGAATTCATTATTAGTACATGACCATGTTACCGCTTACGGCTTACTCGTTGATAAATTTAAAGAGATATATAAAATATCTGTCAAAAATGTAAAATTGAAGCAAAGAAAACACGAAAATGTCTGGATTAATGAAGAGATTTCAGAACTATCCCATTTGAAAGACAGGTTATGGCATAGATGTAAACAAAATCCGGGTAATACCACTTTAAAAACCGAATATCGTGTGCTAAGAAATAAGTTAACTGCTAAAATTAGATTAGCCAAAAGAAATCATTATACTAGCAAATTTAGTTCTGCAAAAAACCCAAGGAAAACATGGGACCTCGTGAATGAGTTGATGGGTAGGAAAAGGAAAACTAACACTGACGATACAATTAGAAAGAATTTTCCAGCATTAGATAACTACATGGAATTAGCCGAATCTTTCAACAACAGTTTCATTAGTAGCGTACCAGCCCTAAGGCAAAAGATAGCGGTGCATGTAAATGATGAACCGGCTGACCGAATTGACTGTGTAAATTCAGCACATTTACCAGAAATAAATGAGTACGATCTCATGAATATTATTAATTCAATGTCAATAACGAAAGTGCCTGGGATAGACCAAATTCGCATTAGGGATTTGCGCTACAATTTTTCAAGTCTAAAACTGGTCCTCCTCGCTATAATTAACGGATGTCTCACAACAGGAATAATACCGGAAGGACAAAAATCGTCAGTAGTGAGACCGCTATACAAAAAGGGTAGTAAGAAAGAATTAGGAAACTATAGGGCGATATCAATATTACCAACAATTTCTCACATTCTCGAAAAATGGGTACAAATATGTATGAATGACTTCTGTGAGAGATTTTCGGTTTTGAACGACGGGCAATACGGTTTCAGCCAACAAAGGAACACTATTTCATTACTTGAAGTTTTCTCGGACTGTGTTAATGAAACGCTTGAAAATAATAAAGTAGCCCTTGCCTTGTTTTTGGACTTATCCAAGGCATTTGATACAATTGATCACGCACTGCTCCTATCAAAACTCAATAAGCATGGTTTCAGGAGCCCGTTTCAGAAATTCTTCACTGTCTACTTTACAAACAGGTTTCAGATGGTTAAAATTGGAAGCAGCACTAGTACAAAACTCAGAGTCGATTGCGGCGTGCCACAGGGTAGCACACTAGGTCCGTTATTGTTTAATATATATGTGAATGATCGATAGTTATTACAACTACGATCTAGAATGTTTCCGTACGCGGATGATACCGTTCTATTCCTACCGCATGACAACTATAACCAGGTGGTTCCGCTGCTTCGAAGCGATATAGATGTATTAGTTAACTGGTTCTCAAGTAATCTCATTTCTGTGAACGTCAATAAAACTAAATTAGTCTGTTTTCGTAATCCGCATAAACAAATTACTCTAGTACCAAACATATATCTTCACCTTCATGATCATGCTCAAAACATTTGCACGTGTAGATCATAAACTTATGACTCTTCGGTTAAATATTTGGGGTTAATATTTGACCAACATCTCCTTTGGAACCAACAAATCGAATATATTATTAAGAGAATGCGGGTGGTATCGGCGTATCTTTACAAGCTAAAAAGTGTATGTTCTGTAAACTTGCCGAGAACTATTTTCAGATCGCTAGGAGAATCTGTTATACGGTATGGGATTACCATATTTGCGACTCCAGCAAAACGGACGCCACCAAGCGGGTAAACCGGGAACCAGCCGGTCCAGGTCGCTCCGCGCCCCTCCTCGTCTCTGGTGGCTTTTGCGGAGACGTGTTGTCGGCGCGGTGGCGAACAATACAATTTGACGAATGTCCGAATATTTCTTAAGTTTGCCATAGTGACAATTAGTGTGGTGAAGCCTCAGTAGATTGTTTTCTTCTATTACGTGTTTGAAAGCCCGTTTACTCGACAACACACTGTCGCGTGCTTTCGATTTCTTGGATGGGGAGGAATCGCGCAAAAACGTTTTGATTTCTTGTCTGTCTCGAATCACATTCAAAGTTACGACTACTTGGTAACTGATAAGTGGTTTCTTTATAAGGATGTAGGACAGTGGACTGAGGACGACAGACGAGGCATTTCACTGGAGGGAACCCCATTGTTGCAGTCAGATAGCTGCTTTTCTTGAATTTGGTTGTGTATGATTAGCTTCAAGATTGAGCCGCCCACGCCGGTCGGTGCATTGGCTATTCATCTTGGCTGCTTTTCGCCGAAAAAGCCTCTGGACTACACCGAAGGAGTTGGGCTGATTTCGCAATTACTTGATTCAGGAAAACCTGCTCGTTGCAAATAATGAATGAGGGAAATTATCTGTTTTCAAAAGGTGGGGGACGAGTCTAGATGCTGTCACGGCATTTTGACCTATCGCGCCTCCATTTATATTACGAGGACGTCAAAGCCAGCAACAATATACGTTTACATTGTCCAGGTTGACCGGCCAAAAAAAAATACTCATTTTCTCCGTTCAGGATTCGAAGCAAAGTTCAATGCAGAAAGGTTCTGCGGGAATCTTCGATGAAGACTCTTCAGTTTGTCCCCGTGCTGCCGGCTATAGGACCATTTGACTAAGTTTAAGTAGTATCTCTCTGTCTGTCAAATATACTTTTATTCAGCAGCTCACCTAATAGCTAGTCAACTAAGCTCATATTTCAACCCGAAGAATATACTAATATCGCTTTAGTGGGACACCCCCCCCCCCCATAGTACGTAATATAATACATAACACGCTCGTCAAAATGACTACTAGATTGCTACTAAAACCTGAATTAAAATACGAGTATCAGCTGCTTAGTCGGCGGGTTAAGATGCTCCTTGGCTCAAGAAGCGCTTGCTTAATTTTCGTAATTTTCCTGCAGGCTGTGTTGTTGACCGAGCAGACGACTGGAGCTGTTTCTTAAA